AAGACACGTAGAAAGAGGATTGTCCGGAAGAAGGTGACTGCAAGTTCAGCGTAGTTTAGTCAAATGTAATCACCAACAGAGTCCAATTTTGTTGCCAAGGGAGATAGAACCACTAAAACAAGAGGAGCTAAGGAGGTGTTGTGCAGAAATTTCTGGCATCTCTTGCGTAGGATTGCTGAATGACAAGATATAAGGAGAAGATTTCTAATTTTTTTTCCTTCTATAGTTTCTCCCTCTTGATCGCAAACAAAGTGTATTGTACTACTGTGATGATCTTGAAATTTTAGTAAATTAGAAGCTTTCGATTCTTTTATCTTCACGTGCATTTTTGAAGAAGACTTAAAAATTCTTGCTGTTTGTAATTACAGCAGCGCTAGTTTGTCATGTTACTGAAAAATTAACGGTTCAGATTATAATATATATCATAAAGTTGTGCGTGAATTATGTCCGACTTATTCTATTTTCTCGTCAAAATGGAACTTTGTTATGGCAAAACAAAAGATCCACCACAACAGAGAACCCCCATTTGCTAGGGCACAACAATCATATGGCCGGATATTCTTATTTTGACTACCCAAACATGTGCCCCATTTCGATGTTCCGAAGCATTGCTGTGAAGCTTTTCCCTCGAGAATCAGATCCGGAATTCCAAGGTCTTGAAGAAGCTGATTACAAGGGTAGAGTTTGGTCACAGCTCTTCGAAGTTTTGGCCCCCTTGGTTCACGCCTGCGGCACTCAATACGAATATCGTGATCCAATAGAGCCGCCTGCGCATAAGACGTATTTGGAGCGCTTGAAAGCAGACAAGTCCAAGCTTCAGGCCGATGCTTTGCTTCCACACCAGATCATAGCTTATGTGCATCACTGGGATTTCGGGAAGGTGGCTGAGCTTCAGTGGAACGCAATGGTGGAGGACATAAAAAAGCAAGGCAATAACATGATACTCAACAATTGCTTTTGGTTCTATGCGGCGGTGTCGACCCGAAATTCATGTGTGAGGACTCTGTGGAAGTGTCGATTGCTTTGGGACTCTTGGTTTCTCAACTGAGTCAAGAGCCATGGAAAGGGAAGTTGATCAATTACCATGAAGAGTCGCCTCAGCTAGAATTGATACAAGGCGGCCACGATCTTAGTACAAGTATGAGTTTGTGAGGAGGAGGATGATAACATGCAATCATACTGCTTTTAGAGAAATGTTTGATTTGATTCTTGAAGAGGCTGTGAAGAGGAATTTGAAGCCAGAGCAGATGGTCAAGAAGGTGTTTGTGTTCAATCACCCTGGCTTTAAACGTTTTGTGGAAGTCCATGAATGGAAGTATATTTATAATAATATAAAGTCCAAGTTTGAGGACAAGGGGTACGGGAATGTGGTGCCACACTTTGTGCATTGGAATTTGTCAGAGTACAACAAGAATAAGCCGGCGATACCTTATAAAGGACCATGACGGTGTTGACTGGCTTCTCCAACAAATTGCTCAAGTTGTTCCTGGAAAACGATGGAGAATTTGGCCCTGAACATGTCATGGAAGTGGCCATCTCTGGCGACTAGTTTCAAAGCTTGGCTGTAGTGGACTGATCCATGATCCATTATCTCTGTCTCCTTCCATCCTTCTAATAATCTTGTTAACATGTTTCGACATAGATTCTGGTCATGTTCTTTGTTTGTTTAGGTAACTTTATTCAATGATATTTCGAAACAAACATGTTTAGAGACCTCTCCCAAGATCTAATGATACTTCAACCAGGTCAACACTACTTCAAACAGACAGAGAGCATAAACGAATATATGTGTAGAGTGAGTATTTTCTGTTATGAATATTGTGAAAAATCGTTACGAATGGGGGATTTATGGATGAATGATTGCTTGGTTGCATATATTGAGAAACACATTTTTAATAGTATAGCTAATGAGGTTGTTATGCAAAGACTAAAAAGTATGAAAACTCGTCGAGAACAATTATGATTGTAATGAACAGGGAATATGGTTTTTGATGTTTTGAAGTATATAGTCCAACTTCGGCAAGTCTTCTTGCATACATCGATATTCAGAGAGTCTTAATTATTGCAAAAGATAGATGTTCCATATATCTCCCCATTTACAGCCTTTTATTTATTTATTGAATGGAAAGTAAAATTGTTTCGCATACACAACGCACATTTGAGGTCAAGGGCTTGAAGCAGAAAACAAAAGGAACAAGCCAGAAACAAACAGTAAGAGCAAAAGGAATTGGGCTGATTTCACATATTGTTTGCACCACCACCACCCTCTGCTGCTGTTACCGGCGAAACTAAAGTCTCTAGGTAAGTAGTTGCTTGGAATTCATCAGCCTCTTTACCCTTTATAATATTCCTAAATGTCCTAGTCTTGGTATTATATGATACCAAGACCTTTCCTTCATGATCCATCAAAACTTCACCATTCTCTAAAATGCAGACAACCTTCAGCTCAAGTTCATCCACTTCCACGAAAACCTGTTGAGCCAAAATCTCTGATGAAATTTTTATGACTCTAGTCCAAGATTTCTTGACACCATATTCCTTCATAATCCATATGCAAAAATCTGTGTCTTCGGTCGGGTCATTATACAGACAAAGACAATTTAGAGCACTCGTAACTCCCTCGAAGCTATAATCCGTGTTGCCACAATAGGGTAATGGCACAATCTCCTTAAATTCCTCATCTGCTAAATCCAGAGAGGTGATAGTTCCAGACGTTATCCAATGAAGAGCTCCTTTTAAGAAGCACCCCTGCTGATCAGTCGTTCTCAAATCAGCAAGATATTCATAAGTCCTCCATGAATTCCTTTTTAGTGAAAAGACATTCATCATAACTTCAGAAGGCCCCTCAGTGGCCAACATTATCTTGTAATCTCCAGCTAAAGAATCATAACCGAATCCGTAAAACATCTTGTCTTGGAAATGATATGGAGGTTGTGCTAACACCTTGGTTTCTCTAGTACAAGGGTTCCATAATATAATAATGGAGTTGTCGTCGCCGATTTCTAGACATACCAAGCCATTGCAAGAGCCCAAAATACACAAACACACATCTGGGTCCATTACTGCAGGATGGTCAACCTTCTTGATTGCGAGATGACTACCGTCTCCATCCTTGGATCCTTCGCAGTACATCGAAAGAAGAGAGTCATTATGTGAGACCAAGAGGTTCATGTTCATGTTCATGTTGATGCCTGTGACTGTGTTGTTGAGGTGAGTCATAACAAAGCGAGGATCGAAGATGAGACTACGCAATGACTTGCACACACAACCACGTCGTATTAGAGATTCGACGGGTAGCCTTAAGAGTGTGTCGACAATGAGTTCTATGGGGATGCTGAAACACCTACACCAGAAAGAACAAAAAAAAAAAAACTTGGTTCAAAACTTAGTTTTTGCTTGGCTTCAGAAAATAACGTCTGTGTAGATCAAAACTTCAATGAGCAATAAGAATTCTACTCAAAGTATGAAATCCCAAGGAAAGAAAAATAGAAAACAAAACCAATTTGAAATATGAGAGATATCTAATAGGGTTATATATATTTCTCACTTGGGAAATAATAAACCTCTAATGCTTCTTTTGTGAAGCTTAAATAGTAAATCATTATAGCTCTGTATACCTCTAATCTTTAAATATGGAAATTAGACAACAAATCACTGGTATATATATCTAACACAAGCGTGTCATATGCTTCATGGAGGCTCTTGATGTATATTACCGAACATTTGAAAAAGAACGTTAAAAAATTCCAAATTAAATGACTCATAAGTGCACGAATCAACAGTAGTCACAAGAAATATATACATGAAAGAAAATAATAGAACCTGGAATAACGAATGGTGGTGTGTCTAAAGCTCTCTTCTTCTCTTCAATCTCCACTTGTGTAAGGAGGTCTAGTATAGAGAGCTTAGGCTGGCCTTATATAGTATAATAGAACATAAACTTACTCAAAAAATGTCTGGAAAAACCTACCAAAACAAAACAAAACCCTAAACAACTTAAAGGAAACTAACTGTCTGACAAAAAAAGGAAGCTAACATCTAACTTCCACGCACGTTTTGGGGTTGTTAAACCTTCTAAAAAAATTCTGGAAAAATATGGGAATTGTAGCTCTGTCTCTTAGCTTTCCAGGCATGTATCACACGTCACTTGGAAAAATAGGGAAAGTCTCCAATTCTTGAATCTCCACAGCAGTTGAGTTTTGACGGGAGGCTGTCTTGACTGGAAATTATAGAACAAATGGCTTGATGGAAAATTCTCACAAATTCACATAATGATATTCAATGTCTTAGTTTTCTTTTCCAATTGGCATCGCTCTAAAATTCCTCCTAAAAATCAATTTCCGGTCAAAAACCTTATAAGTGCACAGAAAAGATGAAAATAAGGAAAGTAAAGTACTAATACTCTTTTTAATCAACTTTGCGTACAAAAAACTAAGTCTAAAGAATATAAAATTATAAGGAGAAGATTTCTAATTTGTTTTCTTTCTGTAGTTTCTCTTCTCTTGATCGCAAACGAAGTGTATTGTACTACTGTGCTGATCTTGAAATTTAAGCAAATTAGAAGCTTCCATTTTTTTAGCTACAATCATACAATATAAGCACTTTAGTTGAAAGAACTACAACACTACACCCCATTTTATAAATTTCTCAAGGAGCCAAATTTCTTGGAATATAAGATTTATTCTAAATTTTTGTATATTAACTGTAAACAGGCTAATGAATGGATTTTCAAAACGATAATTTTAATATCATAAAAACATTTGTAGTACATGAGACTTTTGTGACTTAAATTACATGTTTGAGTATGTCTTGAAAAGGACAAAGACAAACAACATTCCGGTTTCACACAAGTTTTTCTTCAAAGTTAATATTCTAAAATTAATAATAATAATTACCATTGAATTCGACAGTGGATTTAACTGAGAAAGAAATTACACATCTCATCAAAAGATAAGAAAATATCCAAATAAAAAGGCATCAAAAGATAAGAAAATATCCCAAAAAAAAGGCTAAAAAGAAGGTTGGTAGCACATAGCCATCGTCAGTACCAACGAGTTTCCCACTCCCTCATCTTATCTTAACTCAGCAGAAGACCCCATAGTTCCCCCTCTCAACTACAAACTACAAACTCAGAACTCACTCCCACTCACTCACGGCAGCGCGTACAATGAACGCTATTTGGTCAACGCTCCAATTCTGGCTGGTCAACCACCCATCCATCCTCCACTTCTCATGGGCTCCAGGCCAAACCCCAGCCTCCACCCTCTCTCTCACCTTCCTCCTCACCCGCCTCCCGTTCTCCCCCATCAACCCTGCCCTCCTCAAACCAATCACAGCCGCCCACAACCTCCTCCTCTTCCTCCTCTCCCTCATCATGGCCGTTGGATGCACCCTCTCGATCCTCTCCCCCTACACCCCAAGCCTAGACTGGATCCTCTGCTTCCCACCCCACATTTCCCCAACTGGGCCCCACTTCTTCTGGGCCTACATCTTCTACCTCTCAAAAATCCTCGAATTCCTCGACACCCTCTTCATCATCCTGAGTGGCTCCATCCAACGGCTGACCTTCCTCCACGTGTACCACCACGCGACCGTGCTGGTCATGTGCTACCTGTGGCTGCGCACGTGCCAGTCCTTGTTCCCGGTGGCGCTCGTGACCAACGCGTCGGTGCACGTGCTCATGTACGGATACTATTTCCTGTGCGCGGTTGGGATCCGACCCAAGTGGAAGCGGGTGGTGACGGACTGCCAGATCGTGCAGTTTTTGTTCAGCTTCGCGGTGTCGGGTCGGATGCTGTACCTGCACTTCTCCGGGTCGGGTTGCTCCGGGATTTGGGGCTGGTGCTTCAATGCGGTCTTCAATGCCTCTCTTTTGGCTCTTTTCGTTGACTTTCACGTCCAGAGTTATGCCAAGAGAAAGAAAATGGGTCAAAAGGATAAAGGGTCCTGATCTTTTTGATCAGAGTGTGGTAGTTGTGGTTGTAAGCTTGTAATGATGCTAATTTTTAATGCCATTTATGTGGACGGCAGCGATTGGTTGGATGCATTTTTCCTTCATTTATTTCTCCCCTTGTATCTTGGCTTCTCATGTACCATTGTTTTCTTTTGTTTTTTCTCGCCCAACCAAAAAAAAAAAAGTGGAACCAAAGCCCGGACATATATTATATATAGATGAGAGAGAGAGAGAGAGAGAGAGAGAGAAAGAGGGTGGTTGGAAACTGAAGTACATTCCTGGTTACCAACAGAACAATATGGAGAAGCTTAAATGTGGAGCTGCCCAATAACCTTAATTCATGAACCATATGCGATGGTCAAACATTGAAGACAAGTGAATTCACACATAATGGGCTCCATTCAAATGGATTGTGACCATCACATGCTCCCACTTATATCCTTTAATTGATAAGAGCGTAGACCTAGCTACTCCAAAGCTTCATGGACCGGTGTCTGATTACTAATACGGATATTGTCTCCAATTTAACTATTGTAATCATACAAAATGTGTATCGATGTTATTAATAATGAAACCACTCATGATATGTTTTATTTTATTTCGTGATGTTTTCGATAAAATTTAAAACCAAACCAACCATATCAACCTCCATTAATTATATATCTATGTATATGATTCAAAGAAAGCAACAGTTTGAAGCTTCAGTAGCTAGCTATATCATCTACTACTGGCATTCAGCTCATGGCTCATGAATGCAAGAATTTAAAGATTTTGACTTGTCAATAGTTTACTCACACACACACACACTCAACAAATAAGGAAATCAAACTCATCATCTCCACTTCCACTTCTTAGTAAATTGAATGAAAAGGCCATTTTAGCTCGAAGTGATGAACAATTTTGTCAACAGTTTGAGTTATAAATAAAAATTCGTTTAACAAATTAATTATTCCGTGGAAAGCAGACAATATTACAACTAAGTACTATTTATCAGTTATTAAACATGAAAATGCTAAAAACATTTGAACTTTTGCAGACAAATTTTGATTTTGTATAAAACATTATGCAACGCGGCACTTTGAGCAAAACGAAAAGATACACGTTGAAAAAACTTCGAAGCTCTGCTAATTCTAAGAATACTCATAATAAGGAGAGAGTGTAGATTTCCAAGCTTTGTTGATTCTAAGAATATTTTGTGTCCTAGCAAACTCTTCAATTTAATTAATGCAATGTTATGAAAAAGAATAAAAAAAAAATATGAAAACATGTTTTAAATGTCTATATATTTATTGTTTGAAAAGAAAAATTGCACCTTTTTTTACATTTTCAAGGTAGGTTTTATTTTTCCAAAGTAAAATTAAATGTTTAGAATAGCCAAGATTAACTTACCAGTACTAAAGAGAGAGAGAAAGAAGTTGCAGCTTTGGTGACTGAGTTTGACAAGGCTGTTGAAGAGAGTTTTGATTGATTATGTGGCTCACCTATTTTAGCATTCCAAAGCTAAATTTAAAAGACCGTTAGAGATGCTCTTAAACTAACAACTATTTATGCATATAAGGAAGATATCCCTAACATTGAACCAAATCCCCTTATTTATTATAGATAACTATATCATGAACCTAGATAATAATCCCAAAATGCACGAACAACTATTTATTCCAAATGCATGAACACTTTCTTCATGTATGTAGTCTATCCCAATAGCCCAAGTATACCAAAGGACTAATCTGTCTGCATCAAAGCATCTAGATGATTTTTATTGTCATGAATGATCATGAGTCACATATGTTTCTTAGAAGGGTAAACCATTTTTTTGGTGCATGTGTTTTTACTCAAAATTACTTCTAATTTCAAAACACTCAAGGACCATGAAGTTTATTATACTACTCAAAATTACTTTTAACATCATGGTCTTTGTTTGTGTTTTTACTCATATTACTTTTAATTGCATGTGTTTTTAAATATTATATTTTTTACTATTAATTTTTAGTAGAGTCCACATGAGCATAAAAATGATACTCAAATTTGCGTGGTTCGCAGTTAACACCTCACTAAAAGTTTGGTTGACGAGGTGGTTTAAATGCAGGGTTATGAGATAGAAGCTTGTGTATAAGTTTGTCAATCGTCGTCTTCCCCAAGCTCTCAAATCTACTCTCACTCTTCTCACATAACAAATCATACACATAATGCTCGGTGGACGGTAGACTTACAGTCTGCTCGGTAGGTTTTAGGCGATGCATCCACTCAAGACAGTGGAGATGCGCTACTATATATGTTGTTGTGATCTCTAGTATGGTCACCGTTCACGGTGATAGATTTCCCAAATAATTATATACACGGCGATGAATAATCTTTGACTAAATACTCGCCAGGAAACAGAAATTAATGACACTACATACTCGAACAAGATCCAATACAACTTGATTGCCACCTCTATTCATCCTAGATTATAAACTTTGTCATGCAAAATTGAAGGGCGACGATTGAATCTTGATGGTAAAAAGTACATACATAGATCATCAACCCCCCATATAAATAAATAAAGCGTCGAACTAAGGCTAGAAGTGGAAGATATTGACTTCTGGATTGGAATAAACTTGAGAAGAACACACGGCATGTGATGACACTGACTGACTGGACTTTGTAATGAATTTGTGTTAGTGACTTTGAATTGGTGAGAGTGATAAGATAGATGGGCGGCACAACAGCAATCTGAACTTGAGAAGGACGAAGAAGAAATAGACATCGATGGCTAAAATCAAATTTCACAAAAGTAGAAGTAAATAAAAGGTACGTACGACTATAAATTTACATATAAAAGATGTGCATGAATTTGTATTCATATGTGCAAGTGAGACTCCAAACTGGTTGAAGATGGAAGGTCGATCCATCATTACGCAGAATTTGAAAAAGTCTAGCTACTTCCTCCTCAAGCCCATTTATCTCATACGTGGTAGAAATCTGGTTATATTTTAATTTATCACACAGAAATAAATGGAGATCAGAGATGGGCGTTGGTTCAGGGTTTTACTTCTTTTACTGCAGCCAGCTTGCAGAGCTGCCACCTGCTTTTGTGGGTCCCACTTGACCCAAAGATGGTTAAATTTTGGTTTCTTAGAAATCCCCAACACCAGTCCTATGCTTCCCGCACTTCAACACACACACACACCATCTCTTCTCTCCCATAGCTTTCACTTTAAAAAATTCTCAAGAATCTCCCTTCCCGTTTGCCCGTTTGCCTGTTTGGCCTTCCGGCGTCGCCTAAACCATTGTTTGACAACCGAGAAACCGCGCCTGAGCCTCCCCGTTCACCATGGACCTCAACATGAACCTCAACATCTCAAATACCTTTCAGTATTGGCTTGTGAAGCACCCAGCCATCCTGCACTTCTCATGGAGCCCTAGTGAAACCCCGGCCTCAAGCCCACTCTTCTTATCCCTAACTATCATCTCCTACCTCACCCTCACTTTCCTCCTCTCCCACCTCCCTCTCCCACTTATCAAACCCCGCCGCCTCAAACCCATCACCGCCGTCCACAACCTCAACCTCCTTCTCCTCTCCCTCATCATGGCCGTTGGTTCCCTGGTCTCCATCTTCTCCTACGCACCTTACCCTTTCTGGATCATCTGCTTCCCACCCAAAACCCCACCAACGGGGCCTCTCTTCTTCTGGGCCTATATCTTCTACCTCTCCAAAATCTACGAGTTTGTGGACACCTTCTTGATCATCCTTAGTGGGTCCTTTCAACGGCTGACATTCCTCCATGTGTACCACCACACAATGGTGCTGGTCATGTGCTACATTTGGCTCCACACCTCACAGTCTCTGTTCCCGGCTGTGATCGTAGCAAACGCCACGGTGCACGTGGTGATGTACACCTACTACTTGCTGGCTGCGCTTGGGGTGAGGCCTAAGTGGAAGAGGAGGGTCACCGAGTTTCAAATATTTCAGTTCATGTCAAGCTTCGTGGGGTTGGTTTGGATGCTCATCTATCACTTTAACGGGTCGGGTTGCTGCGGGATCTGGGGATGGTGGTTCAATATTTTTTTCTATGTTTCTCTTTTGGCTTTGTTCATGGACTTCCATGCTAAGAGTTATGGCAGCTCCAAGAAGGATTTGTGATCATGATGATGATGATGTGGACAAATCTACCGCTAATTACGATCCATATTTGATCAGTACTCAAGAGATCAAGTAGTTCCCTTGAATGTATTTTGTGTTATTGATTTATAATGCATCAATTAATTGCTTTCTATTAATTTTCATATTTGAGTAATTTTTTTAGTTAATAGCGAAGTGTTGAATCACAGATCTTCTTCTCTGTTATAAGAATATATTTTAGTATTATTGTTGGCATATTAGTAGTATATATACAGCTGCTATATATTTTTTTGTCAGTATCATCTTTGCCATAGTAGTAGTATATAATTACGAAAGTGGTTAACACCTCATTTTGCTTTTTTTTTTAATTTTAATAAAGTTGTTTTTTTTTTGGTCCGGTCATAGTTAGGAAGGGGAGGTGGATTTTCTTACACACTACCAAAGTACTTAGGTGTCATAGGAATTCAAACATGAGATCGCTGATCATTTTTCACTGGATTAGACCTCTTTGGCTTGTGTTTTAATTTGTTGAGTTTATATGAAGGTTTGGAAGTCATAAGATGCAAAGAGACATGCATCCCTTTTCTTGGAACGCAGTCCTTTTGTGGTAATAAGTCAAGTGTTAATTGCGCACACAGGGGACAGAGCCAAGCTGGGGCTGCCATACACTTTTTTTTTTTGTTCAATACCCCAATGCAATTACTAGTAAGTGGTTAAATGCAAACCCTATAGTCGTCACTTCATAATAATTTTATTAACAATTATATAGTAAATGTTTATTTGAAAATAAAAAGCGAATGTACAGCCATATCAGTCTATTTTAAAAGCTCCATATTCAAGACCAACGTCCTTTTTTTAGTCTATTATTTACTGTTGTAAGATTGAATTTTCCTTTCAAAAATCCTTGTTATTCCCGGCCCCTCCACACATACAATCCTAGTTCCTTGCATATATGATATCAATTGTTCATACGATGGGTCCTTATAGCCAG